CTGTAGGAACTGGTACAAAAAAACCATCTGTGGCAAGAAAGCGTAAGTTTTTTATTTATTTATTTTATTTATTAAATTTTTTTTACCAAACCATCAAATGAATCAAACAAACTTTTTTCTACCCCATGTATTTTTTTTATTTGCACTGAGGAACAAACATCCAGCCAAGTTTCAGACCACACCCAACTGAAACACGTTAAGCAGATAAAGATGGCCATCAACAATCAATGTGCCTGCAGGGTCTGTTTAGGATCATGGAGAAGAACTTGATCTGCGCTTTTTGTGCTTTGACTTTCACACTCAGTTACTTGAACCTTTAGCTTTTTCTTTTTTTTCCCCAAAAATATTGTAGACCATACAACAATCCCAGTCTTTGTCTTCAATCCCTCCATCCTTTGTTTCAAGTCTGCGCTTGTTATATAACCTGCTGGCCAAGGCCTTGATCTATRCAAGCTGTATAATCTTTTTATATTCTGCTCAGTAATGTTTGATACTGAACTAAATTAAAGCTTTTTGTCAGTACGGATKTCTGGCTTACAGATTTTGACACTTCRCATAAGACTTGAATGTGTATTTATACACGGTAAGCATAGGGTTTTATTTGATTGTTGCAATCAAGCATTTGAGAGAGTTTTGTTACAGGAGTATACGAAGAGTTCTTGAAATAAAGAGTTTTAAATCCTTGCACCAAAATTATATGATGCTGGTTTTAAAAAAAGGTTACGATGAACCAAATGTCACGGGGCATTTTATTAATGAGTTTSAATGTGTGCAGTGGAAGAACAGAAAAGATCGGCACACCTGAACATTAATGCAGACAGGCTCACTGTTCCCAGCTGAAACACCTGCTAAGTGGTTAAGCCAGAAAGTGAAAAGAATGTTTAGAGAATGGATAGAAGTGCAATTATGTGGTTTAGCACAGTTAGTCTTTTTAAAGTCCAATACTATGACCTCATATTCAACTCAAAACACCCAGAGCACAGAAAGCAATCAAGATGAAATAATGGAAAGCTGGCGCTATTACATCTATCATAGGATTTCTTTGTTTTCTTTGTTTTTAAAGGAACAAATGCAACCACWTTTATATTTTCAATGTTTTCTTCTGCTAAAGCATGGTTAAAAAGACTGAATGAATGTAAACCTTTTTTTTATCCAACAAGTTCAGTCTATATTTTAAGACGCACTAAAACAACATGGTTTAGATGAGGTCTAGAACATAAATGTATAAGTGTTAGACAAAAATGTTACCACTTCATCTTGTTCAGACATTTCTGAGCAGCAGAAGAAGTAATCCACCCTCGCCTGCAGCTGTGCTTTTTGTCTTAGCTGGATTGGATGTTGATGAGTGATTACGAAAACATGTTTGAGCCCAAAGTGAGACTTTTTGTACCTTCCAGCGCTCACTACTGGCGCGGAGGATCAGCAGGTGTCTGGCGAGGTTTGAGAGGCTGGAAGTTAAAACGGTTTTATAGTTTTAAACAAAACTTACTTTGGGTTTGTGTGAAAGCATGTGGGGAAACTGCTGTTTATTTAATGATGTGTATAAAACAACCTGTTAAAACTGCCTGTTAATTTCACTCAGCATAATTTAGGTTGTTAAATAACCACAGTGTTTTTATACCTGGTTCATACAGAACATATTAGCCTATTCAAAMACGAAAATGTTTGTTTTGATTAAACCTACATTGTAACCTTCTGATTATATACCATTCCCATTCTGATGGTTTAATATCTTAGTTTACTTAAATAAGTTCAAGTAAACCATGTTCATGTGTATTTTTGTAATAGAAACAGCTTTCAGTGAGCACAACACTGAGGCTTAAAATTAAGTTTATATGTAGTTAAAATTATAAAATAATGTTCAATAAGAGGTATTTATTTACATGCAAATCAACTTCTATGTTTAAAAGAAAAAAATAATTCCAAAAAATAATACAAACCTTGAAGCAATTCTTATTACCTGCCTTGGAGTGTTAAAGTCCTCCTATGAGGGGAAGGCTCAGAGTTTTAGTTGTTTTGGTCAAACCTTATAAATGGCCTATTTGCAATCTTATGCAATCTTGCCAGATTTTGTGGATGTTAGCCAGAGCTGGCTCATGGCATAGGCAGCATAGGCAGCAGTTAAGGGCGCCGTCCATCCAGGGAATGTCAAAAATGGGGGTGAAAATATTTTTGTAACTTTTTTTTTACCAGTATAGAGATTGATTGATTGGTTTAGTCTGTAGAATAATCACAGGTTACTCAAGTTTTTAAAAGTAATTTGTTCTGTGGATTTCTCAGCATGTTTTCTCGCTACGTGAGATTATGCTGTGCAGAGGATATTTTGTGACAAAAGTATCATACAATGATATGATCGGCAAGTGATCCCTGATGTTAGTGTTGAGTGTGTTGAGGAAGACTCTCATCTTTAAATTCATCGTTGTTGTTGTTGACAAAAGCAGTGAGATGGCAGAAGCTGAGGACAGAACTCTGAGGTCATCAGGCAGAGACTTTTAAAGTTGAAAAGCCTCAGCTCCCCCCAGGCATTGCCAAAAAAGAAATTAAAGAAGCACAAGGGGATGTATGAAGGGCGTTCTTGTTGTGTCGAGGGGTGGATCTGGGAGTGGTTCAGATGCTGTTTTTCTCCCAAAATTTAATTAGTTCATAAGTCTACTGAGGTTGATTAGCTGTGGAAGCCATTTTGAAGAGAGCTGATATAAAAAAGGAATCATTTGTACATCCCATAAGTAACTTAAAGTTGTATTACAGTAAAACCCATCTAGAGGTTCATGAGACATTTTGGTTGCACGCAACACAAAAGTACACACACAGGCAAAAACAGAATCTTCATTTGGGGATGGGCGATAGAAAGGTCAAGAGACAGCACAGATATTGGAGGTGACAACCAACCGCTGTGAACTGTTACAGTTTTTATCCAGTGCCAAAACACCCCACATGATGCTTTTTTTTTGTATTCACCCCCACCGTGTTTTCTCATCTTCTCATCTGGAAACCACATTTCGCTGATGCCTGCTAGTTGTGAGCTGGCTTGTTCTGTCTCTGCTCTTTTCTGCATCTATTATCCTGTCAGAGAACAAGCCAAGGAACAGTGACTTCATACTTTGACTTCATACTTTAGTGACTGCCAGCAGTGGTGCAACGCTATTTATGTATTTTAGCATTGTAAAATAATTAGTGTCAAAACAGGGAGATGGTACCTCGATGCAAAACAAATGCAATTTCAAATATATGTAATTAGTGAGTTTTAACCTGAGCCTTTTAAGAAAATGAAGGAGGAAAGTGAGTGATGTTGCTTTCATATTCTTAAAGTTTCATGCCCTTACACAAAGCAATGCATCCAGCAGTTCTGTATTATACAAAAAGAGAGAGAGCATCAAACCTCAAAGCTGTGTAATAAGTGCTAAGTAAACCTCTCCAAACAAATCTCTTTAGTAAATATGCCGACAGCTCCAACTGGAATCTATAACGTGCGTGGGGTTGAACCCCAGCTAAATTGATTCAAGAGCTCGGCATCTGTTTCTCTGCTGACTCACTCCACTAGTTAGTTTGCATCTTCGAAGATCTGTGTGAACCGGTAGACCCCGGCGTCAGACTGCATGAGAACTAATTCTGCCTACACCACTGAGTCATAACTCACAGTATTGTTCTTCATAAGTGTAGCTCACAACTTACAATGAAGTCCAGCCCAAGTTCCTGAGAAACATCTAATTCTCCGAGGAGTGCTGGGTCAATGACATGCGTTCAGCCTGCTTAGTGTTACGAGGTTCTCTCAGTTTCCTGCCAGGATGTTTACTTCCTTTTATTTATTCCCAGATCTTTTATGAGGTGTCCCTTCCATTCATTAATCTAAATCCATGAAACGGATGCAAGGGGTTACCTTTGGACAAACACTTTGTTTTTCTTGGCCATCTCATTGGTGATAGGAATTGTGGCCAATAACAAGGGCGAATGGGGTCAGCAGACACTCCTAGCCTCTTTTTTTTGTTAGTAACGGAACAGAAAGCATATAATTTAAGTAATTTCTTTCTATCAGAGTGTGGGAGTTTTGTCCAGAAAAGCTGCTCATATGTTTTCAATGTCATGCTACTAACCAGAGATTTTGTTGCTGCAGGTCTTTTGTCTATTTTTTATCCTTTTTTATTCTATGACAAACTAAAAAAAAAAATTCACTTCATTTTGAAGTCATCCTGAAAAGGTGATTCCAGACTTTATTTCATCAGTAGGAGAGTTTGTGCTCTATTTTGCTGCAAAATTAYTTAATAATAGACTTTTAGATGTATTTTTTTAAATGTTTCTTACTTCATTACTTACCCACCTTCAACACATTGCCTACTTATGGACTGGATTTGGGGAAGGGGATCAGTTCTGTCCTGCAGGACGTAGTTTATTTGTTGGCCAGCTGCGGTCCAAGCAGTCGTCATCCTCTCGCAGCTCCAGAAGTTTTTTCTTTCTCTCAGCTGTCTTTTGTGCTCAGTTGACCTGCCTATTTTCTTTTGTTCTCTCAGCTTGCATTACAATCACATTTGATCATACTCTGCTTTATTTTTATTTACATTGATGCCAATATCTTTTTTTCCCTTTTTTAAATGACAATGCAGCTCTCCAACTGTAAGCACTTAAAAAAGCAGTGAGATTCTTCTTTGATTTCACATCAACATCTGGATTARATGTCTATGCTCATGTTGGATCAACCAGCCACCTAAAACACTCATAGATCTACTATGTTTTGCACTTTTTGACAGTATTGTCCTGTACGAATGCTGTCCTGGGTACATGAAGCTGGACGACATGAAAGGATGTCCTGCAGGTATGAAATTGCTCTCTGTAGCTTCCTTTCAAATCAACTTTTTTCTAGCTTTATTTCATGTTATAAATTCATCCCGCCTCAAAACAAAGACCCAGCRTGTTGCGTTGACTCATTCATGCATGTTTGAGAAATCCTTGAATCTCCTGTTAAAGMTGCTTAAACACTTCCTGGTACAAAGCACCGCCTATTTTTTTACAATGCTCCTCCCTGGAGCTCAGTCTGCAGCCGAGCTCCTCCCTTAGCACCCCTCCCCCGTGGCAATGTTGTGAAGGCGTGCTGGAATGGGAGTGTCTGAAGTGGTAGGAAGTTTTTTAAAAAGACAAAGGCCAATTTCAAGATGTTTAGCTATGATGCAAAGTCTAATTTATTTTTGATATATACAACAGTTTTATAACAAATGAAGGTAACATAGTTACTTGATTGTGGCAGAGATTGTGTTTGGAAAACACATTATACCTCACCTTAAAAAGTATTAATTCATTTTTCGTACATATTTCCTGCTCCTTATAGTGGCTCCCATTGACCATGTTTATGGTACGTTGGGGCTTCTAAAGGCTACAACCACACAGCGATATGCAGACATGTCGAAGCTGAGAGAGGAAATTGAAGGCAAAGGCTCCTTCACCATGTTTGCACCAAGTAATGATGCCTGGGATGCGCTGGACTTTGTGAGTAAACCTGGGGTTTGCACATGCATTAACTGTATATGACTAGACTAAAAGAAACTAACAGCACTCTCCGACAACGTGTCCGTAGACTGTACGGGCTAATCTGGAGGGCAACGTGAATGTTGAGATGTACAACTCGCTTCACTACCACATGGTGAACCACCGACTGCTGACCACTGACATGAAGAATGACATGACCTTCACTTCAATGTACAATGACCTTGGGCTTTACATCAACCACTATCCAAATGGGGTCAGTCCACATGCAGCACAATCAAATTCATGGTTTTTTACTGGTAGTACTGGGTTATATAAGCCTTTCTCTTCTGTTAAGGTTGTGACAGTGAACTGTGCCAGGATCATCAATGCTAACMATGTGGCCAAAAATGGTGTGGTGCATGTCATCGATCGAGTCATCAGCTCCGTGGGCAACACCATCAAGGACTACCTGGAAAATGATGAAGAACTCTCTACTTTTACTGTATGTAAAATCTTRTTTGAAAATAACTCACTTCAACATGATGAACTGTAGAAACCAGTGCGATCTGTACAATATCAARCATGTTTTCATTTGTTTTGTTCTCAGGATTCAGCATTCGCTTCTGGTGTGATGGATAGACTGGGGGAGCCTGGTCATTATACTTTGTTTGTTCCAACTAATAGAGCGTTTGACAAACTGAGCCCAGGCTACATGGAGAGTATCACTGAGAACGTGCCTGTTATTACAGGTATGTAGAAGAGCTGCTCTACTGAGAAAATAACTGAACAATTAAACATTATTTTTTATTATTTAAGTCCAAATTTATATCATTTTTACCAATTTATTTTCCTCAACTAAAGCAATAAAAACAATCCTATAAAAAATTCTGCCAGAATTTAGTAACTGCCAACAAAATGTGCATCAAAAGGAAAAATGTTTGCAAGATAGCCCAACAGTTTCTCACACTTGTAAGCTGTAAGTTATTTATGAAAATGATGAGTTTACTATTTGAATATTTTCTAATAAAAATCGCCAACGTTAAAATTAAGCTTAGATATCAAGTGTGCATATGTTTAACTTTACAGAGTTGCTGACAGGATTACAGACTCTCCATTTCTGCATAAAGCACAATTATTCTGCCAGGCTAAGCAACTTCCTCCCTTTTTTGCAGCTGGCCAATGTATAAATCACATTACTGTTACATACCAAAAGGCTTAGGTCATTATCCAGAACACACTTGCAAAGATTAAAATGTGTGCCAAATCCAGCTGATACAGTTAACTCCACAGAGGAGTCTGTTTTTTTATTGATGTTTTAGATCCACAGACAAGTCTTATCCACAACAGCTGTACAACTCAACATTTAGCTACAGCCATGTTTTACAGCTGGTGCACCACATTAAATCTCCACGAAATCCCTCAATGCATCGATCATCTTTCTGTGTCCAAACAAATTACATTAAAGTTAGCCAACTGTGCAGGATTGTCAAATGTCTTCAACAGAGTTTCTCAGTGTTTTTTATAACATTTACTTCTAAAATTGAATAAAGCAATATTTCAGACACATTTTGCTCATAAAGAAACGATGTCTAAATATGAGCGCCATCAAATGAAACAGTTTTCACTCAGTGTAGATCACTTCATTTTCATTTATAAGTCTTGCCTGTTCACAGATGTTGCACTGATAGTCAGGATAAGCCTTTTGACATTATTTGCAGAGTTACAATTTGTTCATTGAGCATGACGAAAGCCTCTTCAGTAAGACGCTTCCTACGGCAGCATAATGTCCCTTTGTCAAATTTTCCAAAAAGTTTTTTGATTAAACTTTTCAACAGACTCTAAAAGAGAGATGCTGTATATTTGCTACAATGGAGCTTTTGATTAATATGAATCACTGCACAAAAAATGATTCCATTTGATTTTTTTTCCCTTTTTTATTCAGAGAACTCCATGTCGCCTTTGCGGTACTTTTGCATGTCAGACAGGTCTAGACAAAGAAACGTTTTGAACTGTTTTTTTCAACAAAACTGTTTATATCCTCATACATACAGTGGAGTGCGAAAGATTGGGCAGACTTGTTAATTTTTCTGATATAGCTTTTTAAATCATTGATTGTTTGGATAAAAACATCAGTAAAACATATCACATAGGGGACAAACACAGTGATATATGAGAAGTGAAATGAAGTTTATATGATTCACAGAAAGTGTGCGATAATTAGTTAAACAAAATTAGGCAGGTGCATAAATTTGGGCACTGTTGTCATTTTATTGATTTCAAAACCTTTAGAACTAATTATTGGAACTTAAATTTGGTTTGGTAAGTTCAGTGACCCTTGACCTCCATTCACAGGTGACTCCAATTATGAGAAAGGGCATTTAAGGGGGACAATTGTAAGTTTTTATCCTCTTTGCATCTTCTCTGAAGAGTGGGAGCATGGAAGTCTCAAAACAACTTTCAAATGAGCTGAAAACAAAGATTGTTCACCATCATGGTTTAGGGGAAGGATACAGAAAGCTATCTCAGAGATTTCACCTTTCAGTCTCCACTGTGAGAAAC